GTCTTATTCCCCCTAAAAAGATCCTGTGCAGTACTTTAAGTACAACAGTTGGGACCTCTCAGGGGGTCATGAGGTTATTACATGGGGGGTCACGAGCTGTCAGCCTCCACCCCAAACCCTGCTTTGCATCCAGCATTTATAATGGTGTTAAATATATAAAAAGATGTTTTTAATTTATAAGGGGGGGGGTTGCACTCAGAGACTTGCTATGTGAAAGGAGTCACCAGTACACCACTGACGTAGATGTTCACAGCGGTGGGAAATTGAGGGGCCCGACAAGAATCATGTCGTGACAGCAGACGCTGAGATTCAGAGTTAAAGCGATCGAAACCAAGGCCCCCTTGCTCTAGCTCGGCTAACACCCGCGATGTGTTTGATACACCGGACAGGGGGACTCCAGCAGCGTTTTCCTTACTTGGCCCCTCTGGAAAGGGTGATTGTTATCACTGGAATTGGAAATATTTTGTCCCCCGTTCACACACGGGGATGGTGAAATCCGACATTCACTGATGAAAATCCAAACCTCCCCCGCCTGCTTCTCAGAGGAGCTTGAACCCCCCCCCCCCCACGGAGCCCCCAGCGCTGCTTTAGAGCCACAGCTCAGCCCCTAGTGCCCGGCACCGGGCCCCTCTCCGACCTGGGCGCTGTGACCCCGGCCCTGAGAGCCCGACCCGGCCCAGCTCTGGACTTGGCCCCGGGGTAGGGAGCAGGGGAGCGGTTACAGCCTGGGGCAGAGCAGAAGCAGAAGGAAGGAAGGAAGGAATCACTGATTGTACCTTCTCAGCCTGGCCGCGATCGCACGTGTCCCCAGCATGGAGCCACTTACAGAAAGAAAACTGAAAGTGGGTGAAGTCTATTTATAGCCCATCCCAGCCTGCTGCAGCCACATCTCTCTCCCAGAGCGAGATGACTCATAGAATATCACAGGATTGGAAGGGACCTCAGGAGGTATCTAGTCCAACCCCCTGCTCAAAGCAGGACCAATCCCCAGACAGATTTGTGCCCCAAATCCCTAAATGGCCCCCTCAAGGACTGAACTCACAACCCTGGGTTTAGCAGGCCAATACTCAAACCACTGAGCTATCCCTCCCCCCCTCTGGTCCTGTGGGTGCCCTGCTGGCTGCCAGGGGGCACTTGGGGTCCAGCACTTCCCCCAGCTCCCCCAAATTCCAGTTAATTCTGCACCCCCAACCCCACATCTGCCCTTCCCCAGCCCCACATCTGCCCAGCCAGGGGCGTGTTGCCAGATTTGTACTATATTAATAGTCACTGAAAAACTAGCCCCCAAGCAGCCTAACCAATTTATTGAAGCTAAGTATTGAGAGTAACACATTGGTCTATACATCACATAACCAATGAAAGATTTCAGGGTAGCAGCCGTGTTAGTCTGTATCCGCAAAAAGAACAGGAGTACTTGTGGCACCTTAGAGACTAACAAATTTATTAGAGCATAAGCTTTCGTGGGCTACAACGCTATATCATATGCATCCGAAGAAGTGGGCTGTAGTCCACGAAAGCTTATGCTCTAATAAATTTGTTAGTCTCTAAGGTGCCACAAGTACTCCTGTTCTTTTTGATAACCAATGAAAGCTTCCCTTAGATACCTAATACAGAACTGATTGTTTTTTAAAGCAGTAATAAAAACACTAAACAATCACATTGGTATCTGTCTATTTCTAATTGCATTCAGTGATGGGAGTGTGACAATGCGGTTCTGGCGGAACCCAACTGAGAGTGCCAACTCAGGACAAATTGCTCAAACAGGGTGGGGTGTTTT